TAAAAGGATGCAAAATAAAATCAATAAAATTTCTATATACCAATGACAAACATAGTGAAGAAGAAATCAGGGAATCATACCTATTCATAACAACCCCCCCACATATACTTAATCAGGGTTATAGAAAATGCCTTATAGGAAAATTTTAAGATCCCTAAAAAAGTTGAGGAAGACACACAGAGGATGGAAACGCTTCTTATTCTCATGGATTAGAAGAATTAATCTTGTGAAAACTGCAGCAATTATTCTAGATGTTTATCAAAAGCTAAACGAAGAATTACCATATGACCCAGCTATACCATTCCTTGGCATACACATAACTGACTTTATGTTTTCCTGCAAATGCTTAGTCATCCATGCTCATTGCTGCTCTATTTACAGTTGATGAGAAATGAAATAAACCTAGATGTTCAGCAACTTATGAATGGATAATGAAAAAATATATATGTATATATAGGAATTTTATTCAACTGTAAGTGAGATAAAATAATTAAATTTTCAGGAGCATGAACAGAACTGGAAAATAATTATACAGGTTATGAAACAATGGCTTCAGAAGACAACTACTTTTTGCATCTCTCTCATATGATTATCTTACTTTCAAATATATTGTTTTATGCAGGAATCTAGTAATAAGTCATTAGTGGAGGAAACGTTAATAAGGGATAATAAATGCAGACAAAATGTAAGTATAAATGAAGAATATTTGGATCATAAAGATTAAAATAGGTTGTATGGTGAAAGGAATGGGAAAATGGGAGGGCAAAGGAAATGTTTACCAACATAAAGTGAGTGTTAAGAAGTAACAGAAGAACCTAAAATCTTGCAATCCAAGCCCAGAAGAAATATAAAAGGGGGCAGTAGAACATGTGCAATATGAAATAAATGTGTGGGACCCAGTCACCTCAAAGTTTAAGCAGGTGTGAAGGCAGAGGAATGGGAAAATTCAGGGATGGGGTGAGTTTGCAAAAATAAGGATGCATAGAGAAACCTTATGAATTACCACTAATCCACAAGGAAGCTTTTATATTGGCAGACTTATTTTTTCTTTTTTAATTTAAATTAGAAACAAGCTTCATTTACACATCAATACCAGTTCCCCCTCCCTCCCCTCCTCCCCTGCTCACAGCAAACTACTATCCCATCCCCCATCCACTCCCCAGGGAGGGTGAGGCCTTTCATGGGGCATCTTCAATGTCTGTCATATCATTTGGAGCAGTAACTAGGCCCTCCCCAGTGTGTCTAGGCTGAGAGAATATCCCTCTATTTGGAATGAGTTCCCAAAGTCAATTCATGTACTAGGTATAAATACTGATCTACTACCAGAGGTCCCATAGATTAACTAGAACTCCGAACTGACATCTTCGTTCAGGGGGTCTGGAACAGTTCTATGCTGGTTTCCCAGCTATCAGTCTGGGGTCCATAAGCAACCCCTTGTTCCAGTCATCTGTTTCTGTGGGTTTCTCTAGCCTGGTCTTGACCCCATTGCTCATCACTCCTCCCTCTCTGCAACTGAGTTCCAGGATTCAGTTCAGTGTATGCCATCCTAGAGACTTCATCCAGTAGCTTATGGAAGCAGAAGCAGACATCCACAGCTAAAATATATTTTTAAAAACAAGTTTGAATAAAAGTACCCACATGAGTGAACAAGGAGCAAGGTTGTTCCCAGAAGACATGGGTTTTTAAGTGAGAATTTCAGAGCCAGCCCCTTGGTACTTCTCTAGGAGTTATTTTTCAGGAAGATCCCACAAGCATCTAAAACAATATGGCTATTGTTGCTCTTCTCTACCTATAATAAATACATTGTAAGACTTGGTTACTGAAGACACCACAGACTGCTTGCAGGAAGTAGAGAAATCAGCCTTGAGCTGACTAGGAAACTCTCTCCCTACTAGTCAGCTTTCTTAGTGCTAGAAGGTGCTATGTAGGCTGTTTGGAGACAAAAGATATCAATGATCTTACCCTGTTCTATACCCTACATCTTATAATACTGACCAGGGAGGCAAGACTTGCTTACTGGTGTAATAATGACAATGCATTTTATGAAAAAATCAAACACTTTCTTGATTGGATTTAAGGCCTGCTCCATAAAGGAAGATTAAATATATATATATATATATATATATATATATGTGTGTGTGTGTGTGTGT